AACAGGAACCAAAACCAGACCTAAAAAGTTCATGTAAAGTTCGTGCTGGTTGTGCTGACTGTGCCATGGCCGATAAGGCAGAAAAGGAAAAACAGGAAACCATCTCACCCCCTTACTCCTGTCACTTCACAGGGTCTGCTAGCCTATCACAAAAAGTGAGCAAAAGCTCTCTCTATAAAACAGCTACCCCTCCTATCCCAAATTGAGGAATCCCGAATAAACATTGGATGGCGGAATATGAGCCAGGTCCGAGGACTGATCACCCGAGGGCCACCTCCCGCTCACCGAACCAAATGAGTTCCTGTAGAGCGTAACGTATACCAAACATAACGAATACCAAATATGTTGTTGTTGTTGTTGTAGTTTGTGTGTCTGTTAAATGTAAGTATTGTTATCTGAAATTGTTTAGAGGTATTGTTTAGTAGTAGTGTTAAAAGTTTTAGATAAATGATTAGTCTTATAAGTAACACTGATGTAAATGTAGCTGTTAATAATCCCTAGTCCCTTGTTAACAACTATTGGGATTTAGAGAAACCTCAGGGAATTTTCTTTACTGGATTGCATTTTGCTTATTGGACATTCTAATAATTATTTAGTGCCTACGTATGTAAGAAATTGATAAAATAATAATTTATATGTAGAAGCCCTTTAATAAAAGTTTAAAAGATATTTAGTAACAGTTTGCCTGTTTCTGCGCCTCCCTGGGACTAGCCGCATTTCCGAACCTTTTACTTTAAACCACACCCATAAAAAAATTATTGTTTGGTGTTCCTCGGTATTAAAAAGTTTAAGAAACACTGGTGTAGATGCTGGCGTTGTTATTTCAAAATAACACTGGTTATCTCGAAACAACAGTGCAGCACAGATACACCCTCAGAGAAATAGAGCTACTCTCATCACTATGCAGGTTGATATTTTAATATAAATACCCATAAGTACTCTGTACATGTGGTGAGGAGAAAATAATTTTCAAGTGTGTTTAGAATTTCTTTTGTGTGGTAGGAATTTTAGAAGGAATCAAAATATTTTATACTTTCATTGATGCTTCACCGATCCCACTTACCTGCCATGCTCTTCCAAAAGCTGTACATGTTTCAGTACATCTTTAAATTGAGGAGTCATTTCACTGTCAGGCACAAGAAGATGCAAAGGGATTAGAATTAAAATATTCATGAAGTAATCAGTGTGTAGATCAGTGTTTCTTAAACTGTGTTCCATGGCACAGCGGTGTGCCGTGAGGCAGTCGGAGGTTTCCCAAAGAGAACAGAATTCAAAATGGCTGCCCATAAATAAGCGGGCGACCTTTTTTTTCCCTCAATAACTTTTCCACAACCTTTTTTTCTCAATAATTTTTCCCTTGGCCCTTCCCCCTGCTAACTTTTTTTTTTCTCAACAAAAAATCCTTGGGCTGTGTCTACATTGGCAAGATTTAGCACAAAAGCAGACACTTTTGCCCAAAACTTACCATCTCTCTACACTGGCTGCAAGTATTTGCGCAAGAACACTGACGTTCTACTGTATGAAATCAGTGCTTCTTGCGCAAATACTCTGACGCTCCCACTTAGGGATAAGTCCTCTTGAGCAAGTGTTCTTGGGCAAGAGGCCAGTGTAGACAGGTAACATCAATTTTTTGCGCAAGAAAGACCGATTACTAAAATGGCCATCAGAGCTTTCTTGCACAAGAGAGCGTCTCCACTGGCACGGATGCTTTTGTGCAAAAGCAAATCTTTTGCGTAAAGGCACATGCCAGTATAGATGCTCTCTTACTCAAATACTCTAATGCAAAAACTCTTGCGTTTAGAGTATTTGCGCTAAATCTTGCCAGTCTAGACATAGCTTTGGTGTTCCCCATTAAAAAAATTATTGTTTGGTGTTCCTCAGTCTTAAAAAGTTTAAGAAACATTTGTGTAGATGTTGGCATTATTATTTCGAAATAACAGTGCAGTGTAGACACACCCTCGGAGAAATAAAGCTACTCCAGTCACTAGGCAGGTTGATATTTTAGTATTAATACCCATAAGCCCTCTCTAAATTTGGTGAGGAGAAAATAATTTTCAAGTGTGTTTAGAATTTCTTTTGTGTTGTAGGAATTTTAGAAGGAATCAAAATATTTCACAGTGTTTTTGAGGCTTCACCCACCCTACTTACCTGCAGTGTTCTTCCAAAAGCTGTACACATTTCAGTAGACCTTTAAATTGAGGAGTCATTTCACTGTCGGGCACAAGAAGATGCAAAGGGATTAGAAGTAAAATATTCATGAAGTAATAAGTGTGTAGGTCAGTGTTTCCTCAACTGTGTTCTGTGGCACAGCGGTGTGCCATGAGGCAGTCGGAGGTCTGCCAATGATAACAGAATTCAAAATGTCTGCACATAAAGAGGTGGGCGACCTTTTTTTCCCCTCAATAACTTTCCGGCGATCTTTTATTTTCTCAATAATTTTTCCCCCAGCTCTTCCCCAGCTAACTTTTTTTCTCTCAAAAAAAATCCTTGGTGTTCCCCATAAAAAAAATTATTGTTTGGAGTTCCTTAGTCTTAAAAAGTTTAAGACACACTGGTATAGATGCTCGCGTTGTTATTTTGAAATAACGCTAGTTATCTCGAAATAACAATGCGATGTAGATACACCCTCGGAAAAATAGAGCTACTTCAATCACTAGGCAGGTTGATATTTTAGTATTAATACCCATAAGCACGCAGTAAATTTGTAGAGGAGAAAATAATTTTCAAGTGTGTTTAGAATTTCTTTTGTGTGGTAGGAATTTTAGAAGGAATCAAAATATTTCACAGTGTTTTTGAGGCTTCACCCACCCTACTTACCTGCAGTGTTCTTCCAAAAGCTGTACACATTTCAGTAGACCTTTAAATTGAGGAGTCATTTCACTGTCGGGCACAAGAAGATGCAAAGGGATTAGAATTAAAATATTCATGAAGTAATAAGTGTGTAGATCAGTGTTTCTTAAACTGTGTTCCATGGCACAGCGGTGTGCCGTGAGGCAGTCGGAGGTTTCCCAAAGAGAACAGAATTCAAAATGGCTGCCCATAAATAAGCGGGCGACCTTTTTTTTCCCTCAATAACTTTTCCACAACCTTTTTTTCTCAATAATTTTTCCCTTGGCCCTTCCCCCTGCTAACTTTTTTTTTTCTCAACAAAAAATCCTTGGGCTGTGTCTACATTGGCAAGATTTAGCACAAAAGCAGACACTTTTGCCCAAAACTTACCATCTCTCTACACTGGCTGGGAGGATTTTCGCCGTTCTACTGTATGAAATCAGTGCTTCTTGCGCAAATACTCTGACGCTCCCACTTAGGGATAAGTCCTCTTGAGCAAGTGTTCTTGGGCAAGAGGCCAGTGTAGACAGGTAACATCAATTTTTTGCGCAAGAAAGACCGATTACTAAAATGGCCATCAGAGCTTTCTTGCACAAGAGAGCGTCTCCACTGGCACGGATGCTTTTGTGCAAAAGCAAATCTTTTGCGTAAAGGCACATGCCAGTATAGATGCTCTCTTACTCAAATACTCTAATGCAAAAACTCTTGCGTTTAGAGTATTTGCGCTAAATCTTGCCAGTCTAGACATAGCTTTGGTGTTCCCCATTAAAAAAATTATTGTTTGGTGTTCCTCAGTCTTAAAAAGTTTAAGAAACATTTGTGTAGATGTTGGCATTATTATTTCGAAATAACAGTGCAGTGTAGACACACCCTCGGAGAAATAAAGCTACTCCAGTCACTAGGCAGGTTGATATTTTAGTATTAATACCCATAAGCCCTCTCTAAATTTGGTGAGGAGAAAATAATTTTCAAGTGTGTTTAGAATTTCTTTTGTGTTGTAGGAATTTTAGAAGGAATCAAAATATTTCACAGTGTTTTTGAGGCTTCACCCACCCTACTTACCTGCAGTGTTCTTCCAAAAGCTGTACACATTTCAGTAGACCTTTAAATTGAGGAGTCATTTCACTGTCGGGCACAAGAAGATGCAAAGGGATTAGAAGTAAAATATTCATGAAGTAATAAGTGTGTAGGTCAGTGTTTCCTCAACTGTGTTCTGTGGCACAGCGGTGTGCCATGAGGCAGTCGGAGGGCTGCC